GGCTAAATGCTTTGCTGGATCAGGGCTAGAGTATTCAGCGTCTTGCAGGATTGAGCCCCTAAATGGAATGACCCTGGATTTACACCAGTGGAACTGAGATCAGAATCTGCCTCTTGGGTTCTAGCAAATATTCACTATAGTAGTTTTGATGATAAGGGGAGGAAGAAGATGAACATGTTGACTGGGACAAGACAAATAACTGTAAAAAAAAACAAATCTCAGAGGTGTAGTCTTGTGTCTAAACTCAAGGTACTGGTACCAGACAGGTACTTTGCAGCTATTTAACAACATGATTTTTGATCCATTGCCATTAAATGTCCATGAAGAGTTCAGTCTTTCTCTCTCTTACTGTTCTTTTTTTAGTAGTTGTTAGTACTGCAGTAGAGACTTTATATACAGGACTTAATTTAATTGTTCTGTCTATGAAGCAATCATAACAATTATATCTTTGTTTTAAGTTGAATTCTAATACACATATATATAGTAATCATATTTTCATTATATGTTGCATTATAACTTGTTAAACATATAAAATAATTGTGTGTCTACAGCTAGCCATCTAGCTATCTGTCGAGGTATACAGATGGATATGTGATATATCACATACAGTATACATTGCTAACAAATGAAAGATGAAAAACATGCTATGAATTAAAAAAAAAATTCTGCAATAACACATATGATTTATACACCTATATCAAAAAACTAGATACATCCATTGGGCACATCACTTCATTTCCAACTTACACACATGCAGCACAAGCACTGTACTTGAGGAACCCCCTACATTAAGAGATTATATACAGCGTCGCCTAAATAACTTCAAAAGCTAGCCAACAAGAACATAACTTAGAAATGACAACATGTTGTAGCCTGAACACTAAAGCAAAAATAGTAATACAAAATGTGACATTTTCTAACCGTGTGATAAATTAATGGTGTTATAAAACCATGAACCATTGAGGCCCATTCAAGTTTGTTAGAATTCTGAAACAGATTTATATGGCATCCATAATGTGTTCTTAAGCTGCTGTAACATTCCATACAAGCATGACCTACTGTCCCAAGAAACTTTTTATATTTAACTCTCTGTGGAAAGATGTCTCAATAAATAAGAACAATATTTGGGTAATAGTATTGCAGTTGATCACATATCAAAACCAATCAACTTCAGAAGAGGAATGTATTTTTACTGCGCAGATGCCTTTGCCATTAGTATTTAATATCCTCCAAATTGAGTGATTTGTATAATGAAGAGACTGAAACAATAGCAAGAATTTAGGCTACAGATGTTTCATATTTATTTCCAAGAGCTGAGATAAATACAGGAATAAGTGATACCATGTCTTTGCTTGACATTCAGAAGGCTTTGGCATATCTGATGAGATACAGTTTCAGGGTTTATCGAAGTGCAGAGTTTGTATAAAAAGAAGAAAAGATACCAGCTGTTATTTTAGTTCTTTTCCTTGCAAAGGTTGGAAACCATTTACAGTGAAAGTGTGGGAAAATTATATTATGGATTGTGAGTACGATACTGCCTGGCAGGCACTTCACTGGATTCATGAAAGGAAGCCACTGTTTCCCAAATCCAGATGTATCTATTTTGACTGGCACTTCTCAAGGAGTCTAAGAAAGTTAGATGCCCAACTCTCATCAATACTGAAAGTCAGTAAGAGCGGTTGGATTTTCAAAAATGCGTAAGTGACTTAGGAGCACAGTCTCATTGACTTTCAATCGGACTTGTGCTTTTAAATTACTTTGGCACTTTTGAAAATCCCACCCTAGGTACCTAACTCATTTAGGCTCATTTGAAAAACTCAGGCTTATTTATTTTCATTTTAATATGTATTAAATGCAGAAACGCATAGAATTGGACTCTCATCTGGTGTAAATCAGGCTAGTGCTATTTACTTTAATGGAGCTATTTTAATTTATACCCATTTATGCTATGCCCTCTTATTTAATCTTAATGAGTAGCTCATGAGTTGCCCTTGAACTACACACTTAAACATTTATGAGGCAATTTCCATAGAAACTGACTCAGTGGTCGGTATGTATAGATTGATCTTAATCAATGCATCTCTGGTTCTGCCATTGTCACAGGTTGTGCCTCATTAGCCTATTGTTTCTTTTAGTACAATATATAATTGGTGACTGGCCTTTACACTGCCTGCATTTCACTATATACTTCAGCTATGGAGAAACATTTATTTTTCCATCGTGCACAGCTAGGGCCTGACCCAATGCCAATGAAGTCGATGGAACACCTCCCACTTACTTCAATGAACATTGGCTCAGGCCTGTAGGGCTCAAGCATTTATTTCACACTTCACCAGGTACAGTACACCCTATAAGTTGCACTGTTATTCAAATGCAATTGAATTCAGTGACATAAGAGTCTCTGCAAACTGTACAGCTTGTGGTATATCAAAAAATATTTGCCGTGCTCTATGTGGCATCCCAGCCTCTGGCTGAAGTCAATAGGATTGTCGGGTGGAGGAGGAATACCTGAGTCAGTCAGTGTTTTAACTGAGTTAAGACTTAGTTAAGACTGGAGGATTTTCCCCCTGGAGTGTTATTTGTACTGTCTGTATTTTCGCTGTGCTTGAAGTATTCCCATGCATGTGTGATGTGGGAGTTTGTGAATTCTTGGTGGGATAGCAGGAGTACGTACTAAGATCATGAACCCGGGGTCTGTTGCGTTACATACTCTTTTGACAATTCAAGTTGCAGTTTGTAAAAAAAAAAAGGGGGGGGGGGAGAATTTACATTTTGGGCTGTGTTACACCTATTTTTCCTCTGTCCCCATCCTTTCTCTAGGTTCGACACACACCCCCACTTGGCGTAGTGCCCAGGGAACTCGTGACGTGTGGCAATTTTCGGATGGAAGCTCGAGACCGCTTAAATTCTGAGAGAATGTGAAGCACACGGGGAATGTGCACCATGTACATGACATCTGAATGTGGTCCGTTATCTTGCTAGCTTTGCGATGATTTCTGACATTAACTTCAGACGTCACTGTCCGAAGGCAGCGTCCAACAGGCTCCTTCTGCCTGCCTGCAAGACAATGTTATATATATTTTTAATAGAATAAAAACACTTCTTTTTTTAAAAAAACAATCCACCATCAAGGGCTTATCGATCATCAATGGCTTTGACTGGCTTCCATGCCATTGGGAAAAGGCCCTCTTGAGTATACGTTGATACAGTGTGGAGAACCCAGCCTGTTGTTCTTATACATTACACACCATCGTTTAAGTGCGGCTAATATTACAAATAGCATAAATAAATAAATAAATAAAAGAGGAGGGCCAGGGGGAGACTTGACATAATAAATGTTGGCGCTTTAGGTTTTGTTTGCTCTTTAATTTTTAATGCTAACAAGGACCATGCAGCTGGTATGACGTTGTAGTACCATATCCACTGCATAAAATTAACTGTTGAGATTAAAAAAGAAAACAAAACCCATATACATACAAGAAGTTATCCATCTATAGATGGCATACATTTCAAAGAAAACTAAAAATGCAAAGCATTGTTATTGCAACACTATAATTAATGTAGAACTAGTGTGGTTGTTTATTAATGCTGAAGTGTGGGGGGGTCTCCTAACTGTCTATCTTATCATTTGCAAACCACTGAATAATGCCTACTGTGTTGTATTTCTGCTGTTAAAATATGTATTTTCGAGGTTGTGGCGGGGGGGGCGGGGAGGGAATGATCCATAGCATACTTTAATTTGTCATTGTTTGTCCAAAAAGCTAACTGTTTTCAGGAGAATAATAATTTCATTATAGTGATACTGTAAGCTCCAAGAAAAGTTGAACCCCCCCCACAAAAAAACCCTGTGGATATTGATGGCTCTTTGTTACAATTATCCCTTATTTGTGCAAGCAGCCATATTCTGGAAAGCAGTTAACCACATGCTTATTTTAAGCATGTGCTCAAATCCTGTTGGATCTAATAAAGCACTTGAACACTTGCTTAACTTTGCGCATGTGAGTGCTCCTATTGACTTTCATATGACTATTAGGGACTTAAGTACATGCGTATGTATGTTCCTGAATTGGGGCCACAGATTGTACCACTGAATTCTGTATATTCTATTGATGACCATGTGTGAGTAAGAGTTATAGGATCAGGCCTAAGTGCTGACGTGAATCCTTTATTTGGTTAAGTCCTGATGCTGCAGGGCAAGCTGTGCCATTATCTTATTCTCATGTAAAACCACCCTAAAATTTATACCAGGTAGAAATTTACCATGCAGGGTCTCAGGTCTGGTGTCAAAGTTATTTATTTGTATTTATTAATTATTGTTACTTGCTTTTTTATTTATTTTTCAAAGCTGAATGTGAAAATTTGGCCAGGCTGCTATTTTGCTCATGAAACTGCAAAATAGATAAAATAATAGCACCTTTTGGTCATTTAAAAATAAATATATAAATGTTATTTTGTTTGGGAAAGTGGTTATAGCACAAGCACAGTCACTTTTGTAACAAACTTTTGTAAAGGACTTTAGACTAGTAGTTGCAGAGTGCATGAGCATCTGTGCACACCAATATTAATGGAGATGTGCCAATAAACTATCAGTGATCTGTGGATTACAGTGTATAAATAGGGATTGATACAACAGACTATTACTGCTTCTTCTGAGGTGTTATGGTTTCTAGGATCAATAATCCATGTGTTACACGCTCTCTGATGGCCCCATTTGGTACACAGTAATGGCAACTGCGGTGCCACAGAAGCAGGCCACATATGCTGTGCTTCTGGTTAAATTCTGCCAGAATGCATGGGGAGCTAAAGTAACTTTGCATTTAGTCTAGGCATGTAGATGCTGGTAACACAGGTAGGGATTAGGCTGAGTTATTCCAATGGCAAAAATGTCATGGTTCAGACCTCCTAGTCCACATTCTGAACTAGTGACAATGTCTGTGCTGCAGCTGAATTAGATCAGAACCATTAGTAATACACTTTTCCCAATAGCAGCCTCTGCTGGGATCCCTCCATTCTTCCCTGAGGGACTTTGGCAAGGAGATTTGTCAAGAGGCATGGCCCTTACCCCGAAGTCCAAATGTTATGACCAATGTTGAGCAAATGCAGCTGGTGAAAATACAGGCAGGATTAACATTGAATAATGGATGTAGATCTCCCTCCCAGTATGGTAGTATAGACCATAGTTGATCAGACTGTGATGGGCAGTGTAGCCATAGCAGATCAACAGATCAGATCAATCCCTATACCATAACTAGGGGTGTCAAAAAATGGCACCCATTTTGCTCCATATCTGTGCATTGCTCTGCACCTGTTTACAAGGAGTTTTTTGAGCACTGAAACAGCACGTCCTACATCTTTGATTGATTATGCCTCATGTGCAAAGGAGTTAATTCCCATCAGCTGCTGGCCTCTCCCATGGCAGCCTCAGACCATTTCCTCATCAGGGTATGCTAGGCAGCTGCATTTTCACTGGCATGGCTGTTTCAGAATGTGGCATATGGGTCAATTTTACTCCATTGTGTAGTTGGAGCCTTATGCAGTGGAGTAACTCTTCTCTTTTCCCTAGAGTACTGAATTAGGTCCCCAAAATACAGATTTACAGAATGGCTGGTTACAGTTCTATATAGCTGTAAACCATTTAATCAATAATCTGTTTTTAAACATCCTTCAGTACATACTTACCTGAAAAACTTCAGAAGATTTTGTGACTTTTTTACATGTCACAACATGCCAAGAGCAGACAAAGCTCAGTTCACAGATTGTTTCAGGACATTGTGGAAACACTGGGCCATAGCCTGTAACTCTCTGTCACAGCACTACAAATCCAGAGTAGGTCACTTATTTCACTCTGGATTTATACCAGTGTAACTAAGAGCAGAAAGGGGGCCCATTGCTACCATTCAAAATTGGTAGAAGCAGGTGGCTAGCAGGTATTTTTACCCTATCTAGGAGGAATTCAAATAAGTAGAAGTAACACAAGCAATGCTCTGATTGTGTTCTGCCGGGCACAGAGACAAAAGTGATACAATACTTTCCTACTGTGTTGAAGGTGAAGTGAAATTGTTACATTCTTTTCTTCTTCTTTTTTCAAATGAAGGAATTAAAAAAACATTTAAGATTTTAAGTCATTTGCAGAATTCATGTGTTGCCTTAAAATTATAAATATATGTAACAACTATGTTGAAAGCTTTAGTAACTCTTAAGAACTGAGCTCAGGGTTCCATGTTTCACTGCGGGTGCTGATACCATATACAAACACTCCATACTGGAATGAAGCACTAGGCTCATCTTCAGTCTGTGTAAGACCATCTGTATTGCAATCGTGTGCATTAGGACTATATTCTCAGTGGTATAAATCGTAGGTGCTCCATTGAAATTGGTGTAGCACCACTGAAACCAGTGGAGCCATGCTGCTTTACACCAGCCGAGCACCTGGCCTGTGGAGCTTTGGACGCCTTGTAAGGACAGTTTTAATGATAGTACTTTTTAGGATGGGAAGTTGACTGTTGGGCTAGCCTGCCCAGAATCCTTGGCTGGGTCTGTGTATGAAGAGTGGGGAAAATAATGTACAGCAGCTTGTTAGCAGAAAAGCTCAAGGTTGCTTTGTTTTCTTGACAAGAAAAAAATCTCACATATTAGAAATGCACAATATACTGCACAATCAGCTCTTTCAGGAGAAACACAGAACCTTGAACTCAGGTCCTGAGCTGTAAGTTAAAGATTACATGATTTTCAAGTACTTTGTATTAAAATGTATTCATAATTTTAAAGTCTGCACATATCTACTGTTAAAAGATTTAGGATGTTAAACAATTTTTGTATTTATTTTAGAAGTGCTGCAGTTCACTTTTAAGAACCAAATTTAAAAGCTCTTTTTGTTACTCAATCCAACATACTGTAATGGTCTGAAATGAGCAAGATATGCGGAAATTAGACAGTTTAGCTTTGGTTTTAGTTTGAAAAGCTTCTTTCAATGTGCAAGCATTTTGTCTGTGCTGTATTTTATTTTTAAAGACAGTCTCATGATAATAAAATGCAGAAAGGTTAACACATTTGTGAAGTCTTACTTAAATTCTGCTTTCAAATGATGTTGATTTAGGAATCGAGAAGCATCCAGGTTATATAATTTCCCAACATTAAATTGGGGGGGGGGGAACAAGCATAACATTGGCCACTTATTAAACCATGTTTATCGCAAATGAGTGAAATGATTATGTATCCTGTTAGAACAGGATTTTAAAAAACTAATACAACAAAAACCACACTTCATTTTGATTCTTGCTTCACATCACATCCTGCTAGGTTCTCTAAATAGCCAATAGCAATACTTGAATCCTGTCACTGACAATATTTAGTTTTGTGTTTGAAGGTGGCAGAATAACTATTAACTTCAGGAAAAGGTGAATTGAAATGGGATTCTTCTTTGGCTTTTTAAGATTATTTTACTTAATATGCTATTTATTCATTACGTTTATGTTGCCAGGAAAATGCATTGTTCATCTTAACTTTTTGATTTTTTGTGTGTGCAGGTTGTCCTGCTCGTGAGCCAGTGAAATACCTGACTAATTCATTGTTGGATTTTAGTATTTGCTTATTACAACTCGGTTTCTTTTTGGTACCAACAACCCTTGAAGTGCATTAACTTTTTAGAGTAGACATTAATGTTGCCTTTGATTGTCGTTAGATTCAGCTGTGCTGTTATTGTCTGGAGCCGCGTCTGGGATGTGAGCAGCTGAAATGGTGGATAATATGTGACAAGATGAAGCATGTCATCCATTGAATATATTTTCCTTTTCAAGATTGGCTAATATGAAATCAGGGTGGTGTGATATTTCAAATGATACTGCTATAAATTACTATCACTATTGTCACTGATCAAGAATTGTACCTCTTTTGCCTCCTCTTTGCTCTCTGCACCCTTTTCCAAATTTCTCAGATTGTTGCAGGCATAAACAGACTTCATATATTAATATTTCCACCACATTTTTGTTTCCAGCCTCTATACCAACAATTCTGATTGTTCTGATAAATAAAAGAAGTTTTCCTTTAAATGTCTGTCTTCCATGACGAACAAAATAATACAACTATTCTTAAACAAGGATGGCGTTACCTGTAAAAAAATAATAGCAAAAATATGGTTGTTTGTTTTCTACTTCTATTGCATCTTTAGCAGTGATGATGTTTAGATGCCAGAACCAGTGGGCCCCAATTTAATTTAATCTGGCCTCCCATATTGAGCAATATGTGATTTCTTTCTTGAACTACCCGGGCTCAGCTCTATTGTCATTTCAACACTATAGGTACTCATATGCCATGATAGTAAACACAGGATGGCTGGATAGCTAGATCCATTAATGTTACGATGAAACAATAGAAATCACGGTATTGGTGATAACAATGGACAGGTGAAAGAGGCAGGCTGCTTCCTGCTTTTCTTGCCCATATTTATATCTGTTTGCCTTATACCTAATTATCTGATAGTGTGATGAGTTGGATAGATGGAAAGATGGATAACCATGTTGCTAAGAAGATTCCAAACTTTACAGCGATAGAACTTTGCACTCTGTGATACCTTAACATTGTTAGTTCATTTTAGTCTTGCTAACTCTTCAACACTGTGGTGATTTCCATTCCATTCCATGTTGTCCAGAGGCAATGTATGCAAGCGCCTTCCTTTTCGCAGGTGTCTGCCATTTTTGTGACAAAGGGCCACATATGGTCAATGTATGGCCCTCCCATTGATGGGAGTTGTGCATGCAGTATTTGGTTTCTAGTATTCAAATGCATATGCCATATTGTGTTGGCCAAGAAAGTAAGCCACCCAGCCTTGGTGCTGATGAACATGATGGGCTGATGCTTTTTACAAACTATGTAAATAGAGGAGGGTTAATAAAGACTTACTACCAGTAAAATGGAACTATTTCCTCTCAAGTTTTTGTGACATTTTATAGCACTATAAAATTGCTTAAACATAACACAAAAGGCAATTCCTTCTGTCTTTTCCACCTAACCTAGCACAATTGTTACTAAATTTAATCCCCATAAATGCCAGGCAAAATGAATTTTCTCAATGGCAAGGTTTAGATAGAACAGTAAGAACTTTTCTTAATGTCATGGAGCTGACAAGAGGCCAAGGGCCACACACCAGAGGCAGAGTCACCTCTGTCCACATGAAAGCTGTTTTCCATAACTTCAGGCATGGACTCTTGCCAGATTGCTTATGTGATCCTGCAGAAGATCCACATAATTTGATGGATGTGTTATTCTAAAACACACATCAAAGAGCTTGTAGCTAAAAGCTGTAAGTCCTAAACCAGTTAATTACTAGAAATTTAACATTTTCCAGCTAGAAATGGAGATGTACCAGGTCGTAAATACACATTATCCATTGAACAATTAATCCTTTGGCATCAGGAATCCAATTTTTCCCATGTGCATCCTGTCTTCTGCAATAGGATATGCAAAGGTAGCCACTCCAAAGGGGTTTAAGGGAGGCATTTCTGCAGGTGCTGTATCAGAAACAAGGGGCCTGATTCTGCAAGCCCTCTGTGGGCTTGATTCTGCTCCCACTGATGTCAATAGCAAAATTCTCACTGATTTCAATGATGCAGGATCATGTCCCGAATGTGGATGTCCCACTGAAGTTCATGGAGGTTTTGTGTAGAGAGGGCTTACAGGATGGCGCTCTAATTGAAGCATTTGTAATTTCAATACATTTTTACCATGTGAGTTCTTGTGTTTGTGTTCTTTGCCACTATAGTACTTTGTTTACTCTTCAGAAAAATACAAGAAGGGCAGTGGCATTGCAATGTTCCCCATATTACCTTATCAATGCATCTCAGCCCTGATCTGGAGGGATGTCATTTTACAGGGTGAGAGGGTAGCTCAGTCTATATGCTGCTCAGTTTGTTCTGAGTCTGGTGACACTGCCAGCAATGGCTGCCAGTTAGTAACATTTGTGCTGGTGGCTTTTGCAAGCTGAACAATTCTGTAAAACCAAGCTCTAAATGGACGCTCTGAGAAAATGCCAGCTTCTTGCTCAACAGCTCAGATCGGGGTGTGTGTTCAGATTTGGACATGCTGACCTAGTGACTAAAGGACGTTTTTTACTGCTGGTAGCAGTCCAGAACCAGCTCTGCTGAGAGAGAGGCAGCTGGGTTCTATTCCTTCTTGTGTATCATCAACAGAATTGTTTACTAAGTTCCAGTTAGAGGCCCAATCACTGGTGCAACCCCCACTGAGGATAATGGAGATGCATTGAGGTTGTAACGGAATTGAGGGTGACCAAGGTGTAATATTTGATGTCATAATTCAGACTGTAAAGGGACCTTATTCTTGATGATGATAATGAAAACAAGAAGGAACAAATCCAGTTTGACTTTCAGATCCCCAGATGGGTATTCAGGGTTAAAGGCTGGTTGACACATCATGCCTGGTAACACATGGTGTCTGATGCCTTTGTTCAGCAGCACGGAAAATTCAGAAAGGGGCAGCTTTTGGAAGCTACAATTGAAAAGAATGAGGTGTCACAAGGCATTACTCTACTCACTGTATTGTAATTTAGTGCTTGAGTTTTGTGGTTCAATGTATTATCCTGACTCCTCTACTCCATGAGATGTATAATTACCTATTCGTTTATCTAGTTAAAAGCACATTCAAGTTTAAAAAAAAATGCCCCAAGACTGGTTAATGAGAGCCTCTCTTTAACAAAGGCAAATTTGCACAGCCAGTCAGTACATTAAAAAAACTAAATAATTTAGGACCAGTTTCTGCCTCCTACATGGGCCACTTGAAGAGTAAAATGCTACCCAGTGTAGAACCTGGCCCTAAATTAATTTCGTGCTTGTGAAAAGTGCCAGTTTGGTGGCACTGGAAACAAGTTTTTGTATCCAGAGAACTGGTTCAGAATAGGCAGCTGTTCAAACTTCACTAAAATGTCCTACTCATTCACTTCACTTCTGACCTGGAGAGACTACATTGTAGGAGTGAGAAGTTAGTTTGGCCTTCATTCCCTTGGCAGTGAGTTGGCTAACAAGCGTGCCAGTTAGTACCAATTGGGAGGGTGGTGGGTTTCATGATGTAGACACTTGTCTCCTACAAGGAACTGGAGTGATACCATGAACCCATTTCATACATAGCATACAAGAATAGCCATCAAATGGTAAAAATGTTTGGCTACTAGTGATGTGGGCCAAATTCAAACTGGTGAGCTAGAGGTGAAAGTCCCATTATCAACTCCTTAGCCATCCAGTATGTGGTTCAGGTGCCAGATTAGATCTCCTCTCACTTACAACAGAATACATTGGAATCAACTCCCTGGAAATCAATTCTTACTCCAGTGTAGTGAAAAGAAAATCTGGACTTTTGCCCAGAAAAAAAATCCCTTGAAACAGTATTGTGATATGCAGAAGTAACCTTTTTCCAATCACCTTTATTGGTGATTGCTTGGTCCCTTCAACTCGCCTCAGTGTAGGGTTACCCTTGTCTAGGAGCTTTTTTGCCAGCATGCTTTCCTGGGACTTGCCCTTTAAATTTGGCAGAGATAGGCAGCTGCAACCCTAGAGGGACCATTTTGCAATTGGCGGCTGCTTGCTACCTCTCCCTCTTTTCCAACTGGTAAGTGCCTTTAACTCTTGTTATATTTTCCCTTCTCCATTCCTGAGAAGATGACACATTCCTGCAAAGACAGAGTATGGCAATCTAAAATAATGAATGGGAGTGATTAATGGTTTCTGGTTAAAATAACTCTTGGGTCAGCACTTTCAAGCATAGTGTACTAGTTGTGGGTGCCTCTGAGTCTGGGGACCCAATTTGAGATACCTAGGGGAGTCTGGTTTTAGAAGTGCTGAGCACTCACCACAGCTCACATGGACACTTTTGAAGAGGTTGGCTTTGGCATATTCAAGCTCTGCCTGCTTTCTTCTCCCAGAAGAGACATTATATGGGTCTATTCTTCTCTCAATTTATGTATACAACTTCATATTCAGAGAGGGGTGAGTGGGAGAGAAGACCCTGTAAGTACTTCCCTTTTATGGGTTAGTCATCCTT